TAAGATATGGAAACAGGGCTGGGAAGGTGGCTCAGTGGTAGAGTGCTTGCCTTGCATGCATGAGGCCCTGGGTTCGATTCCTCAGTACCACATAAGCATAAAGAAAAAAGCCAGAAGTGGCACTGTGGCTCAAGTGGTAGAATGCTAGCCTTGAGCTGAAGAGCTGAGGGACAGCACCCAGGCCCTGAGTTCAGGCCCCACAACCGGACACACACACACACAAAAAAAAAAAAGATATGGAAATATAACAATGAAATGCAACAAAACAAAAGCAGAAGAGATGATCATCCTAAGAAGCATGCAATCATAACAAAAATAATAAATATGAAAAGAACAACATGATTCTTCCAAGTTCACCCCTCAATAACTTGATCTAAAGACTGATATTTAGAAATACCTAAGAGTTGCCGGGCACTAGTGGCTCACGCGTGTAATCCTAGCTAATCAGAAGGCTGAGATCTGAGGATCACAGTTCAAAGCCAGCCCAGGTAGGAAAGTCCATGAGACCCTTATCTCCAAATGAGCCACCAAAAAGGCAGAAGTAGAGCTGTGGCTTGAGCACTAGATCTGAGTGAAAAAAAGCTCAGGGATAGTGCCCAGGCCGAGTTTAAACCACAGGACCAACACACACACACACACACACACACACACACACACACACACACACACACACACACACACTTGCATTTTAGTAAACTGGGAGTAGATGCAGATTGACCACACACACACCCTACACACACACACACACACACACACACCCTTGCATTTTAGTAAACTGGGAGTAGATGCAGATTGACTGGCCAAAAACACAAGCGGATTTAAAGATGCTATAAATAACTATGACTAGCAATGTGTTTAAATCATTAATAAAGAATCTCCCTATCAAAAAAAAAAGTTCGGGCTGGGAATGTGACTTAGTAGTAGGCTGCTCATCTAGCATGAATGAAGCCCTAGGTTCAATTCCTCATTACCACATACACAGAAAGAAAAAAAAAAGCCGAAAGTGGTGCTGTGCCTCAAGTGGTAGAATGCTAGCCTTGAGCAAAAGAAGCTCAGGAACAGCGCCCAGGCCCTGAATATAAGCCCCAGAACCAGCCAATTTCCTAACAAACAGACACAAAATACTTACAATCAACATCATAGTAAAAAATAATATTAGTAATGGGTGCCAGTAATTCTATCTACTCAGGAGACTTGAGATCTGAGGATCACGGTTGAAAGCCAGCCTGGGCAGGAAAGTCCACGAGACTATCTCCAATTAGCCACCAGAAAACCAAAAATGGCACTGTGGCTCAAGTGGTAGTGGGCTTTGCCTTGAGCTGAAGAGCTGAAGTTCAGCACCCAGGTCCAGAGTTCAAGCCTCATGACCAACAAAAAAAAATTTTTTAAGCTGCTTAGGGATAGTGTCCAGGCCCTAAGTTCAAGCCCCAGGACTGGCAAAAAATAATAAATAAATAAATAAGCAAAATAAGCCAGATACTGGTGGCTTGCACCTATAAATTTTAGCTTCTAAAAGGCTGAGATTTAAGGATTGTGGTCCAAAGCCAGCCCGGGTAGGAAAGTCAGTGACACTCTTTTTTTTTGGGTCCAGTTGTGGGGCCTGAACTCTGGGCCTGGGCACTGTCCCTCAGCTCTTCAGCTCAAGGCTAGTGCTCTACCACTTGAGCCACAGCACCCCTTCTGGCTTTTTTTCTTTTTGCTTATGTGGTACTGAGGAACCGAACCCAGGGCCTCATGCATGCAAGGCAAGTGCTCAACCACTGAGCTACCTTCCCAGCCCTAGTGACACTCTTATCTCTAACAAACTACTCAGAAAAAGTCAGAAGTGACTATGTGGCTGCAGTGTCCAATACAGCTCTTGCCTTGAGTACAAAAAGCTCAGGGCCAGCCCCTAGTCCCAGGACTAGCAAGAAAAGAAAGAAAAAAACAGGCTCAAGCCTATAATCCTAGATCTTCAGGAGGCTGAGATCTGAGGATTGTAGTTTAAAGGCAGAAAGTGAGTGTCACTCTTATCTCCAATTAATCACCAAAAAAGCAGGAAGTGGAGCTGTGGCTCAAGTGATAGACTGCTAGCCTTCAGCAAAAGCAGCTCAGGGACATCGCCCCAGGCCTGAAGTTCAAGAACCAAGACTTGCAAGCATGCTCACAAAAGGAAGCCTAATGAAAAGTCTTCAATTCAAATCAGAGTTAGATATTAAACAGAATATATAATAAAACTCTGAACAGAGAACTAAAGCAAAAAGCATAAGTTAACAAAGTATTAAGCCTATAATCCTAGCTACTCAGGAAGCTGAGATCTGAGGATAGGATTCAAAGCCAGCCAGGGAAGGAAACTGTGAAACTCTGATCTCTAATAAACCACTCAGTGGTCCCGTGGCTCAAGTGACAGTGCACTAGCCTTGAGCTGAAGAGCTGAGGGATAGCTCCCAGGCCCAGAGTTCAAGCCCCAAAACTGACAAAAGAAAAAAGAAAAAATTATTAAATAAATCTGTATCATTTAGAGAAAAAAAAACTTTAAGCAGGTTGTTTCTATAATGCAAGTTCAAAAATTGCACATTTCATCCTGATAAACGTAATTTTAATACCCATTAATAGTATAAATATTCAGTATCAGGAAATAGATGTTTTATTTGTTTTGTTTTGTTTGGCCAGTCCTCAGGGCCTGGGCACTGTCCCAGGAAAGCATTCTACCACTAAGCCACATTCTGAGACCTAGGTGCACTTTTTTTTTTTTCCCGGTCGGTCATGGGGCTTGAACTCTGGGCCCGGGCACTGTTTCTAAGCTCTTTGGCTGAAAGGGAGCGCTCTACCACTTAAGCCAAAACACCACTTCCAGTTTTGGGGTGTTTAATTGGAGATACGCAGCTCACAGATTTTCCTGCCTGGGCTGGCTTTGAACTGTGATCCCTGAGGATCACAGCCTCCTGAGTAGCTAGGATTACAGGCTTGAGCCACCATGCCCTGCACCTGGGTGCATTATGTTTCTATTTATTTATTTATTTTGCCAGTCCTGGGCTTAGACTCAGGGCCTGGGCATTGTCCCTGAGTTTCTGGCCAAAAGCTAGCACTCTACCACTTGAGCCACAGCACCACTTCCAGCTTTTTCTGTTTATATAGTACTGAGGAATCAAACCCAGGGCTTCATGCATACTAGGCAAGCACTCTACCACTGAACCACCTTCCCAGCCCTAGGTGCATGCTTAATTCAAATTCTTAGAACATTTTTAGCACTTCAGAAAAAAATTGTAGGGGCTGGGAAGGGGCCTCCAAGGGTTCAATTCCTCAGCACCACATAAACAGAAAAAGCTGGAAGTGGCACTGTAGCTATGTGGTAGAGTGCTAGCCTTGAGCTGAAGAGCTAAGGGACAGCGCCCAGGCCAAGAGTTCAAACCCCACAACTGACAAGCAAGAAAAAATTGTAGGTAAGTTTTAATGTGTCAATTCAAATACATTTTCATATGTAGGAATTCAAAACAAAAGACAAGGTTGGATTCGATTCCTTAGCTCTAGGACTGGAAAAAAAATGCATTCCTTCTCAGGCTTCACTGCAAATATTTGGGAGTGTAAATTACATTCTCAATAGAAAACATAATGGTCTACATCAAGAAATTTTAAATCAATTCTTTCCTTGCTTCAACTACTACTAGGAACGCACCTTGAAGACTAAAGAAAAACAAAAAAAAGGTTCCATTTTAAGCACTGTCCCACATCCTAAAAGGTCACTTAGAAATTTAAGTGTATTTTGTCTACAATAAATATTTTTAAATTTAACTGCTTTTGCAACTTGCTGCTTTAAAAAATTAAGGAATCTTCAAAGGAAAATGAAAACATGGACGCCAAAACAGCTTGTATACAAGGTAGAACATAGGAGGGTCACATGGAAGCAATCTGAAGGAGAAAGTACTACTGGAGCAACTGAAGTCAAATTAAATTAAGACACTATTTACATATCTCTAGCTCTGTGCTGACCTCATATGGTGCTTTGCTATATATTATGCACAGGTCTACCTAGGTTTGCATACCTGAATTCATATTATATAGTTTCTATCTTTAATCGAAGTTAAACATTCCACGGTCCTTTTCCCATTGTTCACGAATCCTCACTATTCCTCAAATCACACCCCCCTCCCCAATAAATCCATCTGTTCCTGCTAATGGCTTCCAAAGACATAACCAAGGACACCAGATTGTAAAAGAGTTCTGGCACTAACGAAATATTATGTTAAGAAATCTTGGCTAATTAGTGAAAAAAAAAATCCTTTAAACCAATACCTTTCACCAATAGGTTATGAAAGTGAACACAATACCAATGAAAAATTTAGAAAGGGAGATAAAGTAGAGCCAAATTGAACAGAAGAAACGCCTCCGATTTGGGGGCGCTCCTCAGACTTACGAGCCACTCCTCAGATAGGTGGGGGCACTCCAAATATATGGTACCTGTTCCCCTTTAAGCCTTCCAAGCTGGCTTCCAGGCTCCATTTCAGTGTTCCCCAGATCCTTAGATTCTCTGCAGCCGGCTCACTAGAACCCCCCCCTTCCTCCACTCCCACCACCCTTTGGTTTTCCAGAGCTACTTCCCTTAGCGACCCCCATGGCCCCAGGCAGCCGCTCCACTAGGCCCTCGCATCTTCCTCACCCCCATTTCCTGGCGGCTCCTCCCCTCGCTTCCCCAGCCCCTCGTCACCAGGTTCAGCCAGCCCCATCAACCGACTCCCGCCCCCAGGTTCCTTCCTGCCCTCCACACCAGAGCTTCCCCGTCTCAACGTTTGACGGGTTCGCCGGGCAGCCTGGCACCTCCTTGTACCCCCGTTTTGTCCAACCGTCTACAGACCGACCCCTTCTTTCAACGAAAATGCCACCGCCACGGCACCCACACACGGGAGCCCCCACCCCACCTCGGTCCTCCATCTTTCTCCCGTCCACTCGCGTCCTTTCTCCTCCTCCCCGGCCTCCTGCGGGAGAGCCGGCCCCGGCCGCCGGCCCCGGCCGCCGTCCCTCACCTCATTCGGTCACTTCAGTGGTGCCAACCGCTTCATACAGGAAGGAAAACACAACCCCTCTCGGCCCCGCGGGCGCTTCTCCGGCGAGTCCGAGTCCTGACCGGGGACCGCCCCACCGGGAGCCCCGCACATACGCGGGAACAAACCGAGGTCGGTGGGGAGGGAGACGAGCGAGCGTTCTCACACCGGCCTCAAACACAGACCACTTCGCTACAGCCCCTCGCCATTTTGGTTTCCCGCGGACTGCCGGTGCATTCTGGGAGCGCGGAGCCACACTGGGGCCGAATGGCTGCGCTCCAGGGCCGTGGAGGGGCGGGGACTACGCAGCCCGCGCGGAAGAACACGGCGTCCTGCGTCCGCGGCCGGAGATGAACAAAGAGGGACTCTTTAACGCCGCCGCAGCAAGCCGGGTTCTTCCGCCGTCGGCGCCGACACAATGGTGAGAGCAGCGCCCGGCCGCCGCCGGCGCTCCTTTCTCTGCCGGCGTCCGGCCTGACCTGCGGTGTCCCCGAGGAGAGCCCGGCTCGGCCCGTCGTGCGAGGCCGGCTTCCTGCGGGTGGAGGACACCTGCGCAGAAGCACGTTTCTTTCACCTTCCGGGCCCCTGGGCAAGGGAGGAGGTCCAGGGCCTCACTTTTTACTCTGCAGCCTCGCACTCCTTATGAGGACCTGCTTCCTTGGAAGACTGTCAGACTTTTTCTTTTTCCTTTGACGGTGAAAGGAATTGAGGTGGGGGGAGGGTAACCCTCCCCCCATCCGTCTCCCCACCACCACCCGCTTTGCTAACCTGCTTTGCAAGCTTCCCTCCTTTGTAGTGAAATCTGAAGATGCTGTCCGTGCAGTTGCGGTTCATTTTAGGAATAGAGAACTTGGCTTCTAGGGCAGCCTCAGATCTACTGCCCACTGGGGTCCCAAGTTACAAACTACCCCCCCCAGTGCTTATCTCTTAGAATGTGAAGGTGTAACCCGGCTCCTTTTTGTAACCACACGTAGTACCTTTATACTTCAGTGGCAATATTTTTACATCATTTCATGGTTTTTGTCCTCTATTGTTTCACAGGGATGATGAATGCCCTGGGTTATGGGTGTTGGTTTTTGTTTTTGTTTTGTTTTGTGTTTTTCCTCTCTGAAAAAAAGTACCTCTTGTGGCCTTAGCTTCCTTTGTTCATAGTTGAGAAGGGGTTCCCTGAAACTAGGTGCTCCAGATCTGACAGATAAGTATACTCGTTTTATCCAATATGGATGTTTTTGTTCAGTTACCGTTCGACATTTTTAGCACTCGGGTTATACTTATCCTCTTGTTTCTCCTAAATAATGGTCTTAATCTTTTTAAGTTTTTCTTACTTCAGCTTCTCTGTTTCAGCTACCTTATCTTTAGGACTCAGGATCCTGTGCTTAGGTAACTTCTCCAGCCCTCCCCCCTCCCTTCTGGCCCAGAGGCTTTCAGCAGTAGCATCAGAAACAGCTTCCCCTCAGGCAATTGGTGGAAGAGTATCTCCCATGAGTCACCCCACCATAAACTGCCCTCTATGGTAATCTAGAAGGTATGTCTCCTTCCAGTGGATGGATTGCGACCCACTTGCCTGAAGCACAAGTACCCCTCATAGGCTTGAGCCACAAGCACCTGGAAAAACATATATTTGGTCTACAAGCACCTGGTAAAAACATACTTGGTGGGCTGGGAAGGTGGCTCAGTGGTAGAAGCGCTTGCCTTGCATGCTCAAGGCCCTGAGTTCGATTCCTCAGCACCACATAAGCAAAAAGAAAAAAGCCGGAAGTGGCGCTGTGGCTCAAGTGGTAGAGCGCTAGCCTTGAGCTGAAGAGCTGAGGGACAGTGCCCAGGCCCAGAGTTCAGGCCACATGACCGGACCCAAAAAAAAAAAAATACTTGGTCTACAAGAACAGAGTTAAAAACTAGCTCCCAATGGCTCACACCTCTAAGTGTACCTACTCAGGAAGCTGAGATCTGAGGATCACGGTTTGAAGCCAACCCAGGCAGTAAAGTCCAGGAGACTTACTCCAAACTAACCAGCAAAAAGCTACAAGTGGAGCTGTGGCTCAAGTGGTAGAACACCAGCCTTGAGTTGAAAAAAAAAAAACTAAGGGACAGTACCTCAGCCCTGAGTTCAAGCTCAAGGACTGATACAAGCACCTGTGTGCGCGTGTGTGTGCGCGCACACACACACACACAGGAAATAAGTTCAAATTGCCCAAATTAAAAAAATACTAGAAATATTTATTTAAATTCTATAGACACTAGAGTCCAACTGAACTGCTCATAGAGACAAAAGATTTATCCTTACCAGACATTTATTAAATTATTGTGACTCTCAAGGAATAATCAAATGAAAAAAATGCATGCAGTAATAAGACATATTAAGTAACTAAATGCTCAATATACAATGAGTATTGTAATTGTTATATGTATAGGTTGGTTGGTTGGTTTGCTGGTCCTGGGGCTTGAACTCAGAGCCTGGGCCCTGTTCTGGAGTGTCTCTATGCTCAAAGCTAGCACTCTACCACTTGAGCCACAGCACCTCTTCCAGCTTTATCTGTTTATGTGGTGCTGAGAAATCTAACCCAAGGCTTCAACCATGCTAGGAAAGTACTCTACCAGTAAGCCACATTCCCAGCCCCTGGTGTATGCATTTAGAAGAATAAGGTTGGCACAAAAGGCCTTCATTCCCTCAACAGTCACTTTTTGCACATATCAAAGAAGCTATAGGGGCTGGAAGGTGGCTTAGTGGTTGGGTGTTTGCTTTGCATGCATGAGGCCCTGGGTTTGATTCCTCAGCACCACATAAGCAGAAAAAGCCAGAAGTGGTGCTGTGGCTCAAGTGGTAGAGCACTAGCCTTGAGCTGAAGAGCAGAGGGACAGTGCCCAGACCCAGAGTTCAAGCCCCACGACCGGCAAAAAAAAAAAAAAAAAAAGGCAAAGAAGCTATAGCAGACCCAAAATGGAGTCATTCTAGCAAAAGTTCCACATTCCAAGCAGAAACCTGAGTTGTTTACTTAAAAGATCTGAACTTTGGCTGGGTGCTAGTGGCTCACAGCTGTAATTTTAGCTACTCAGAAGGCTGAGATCTGAAGATTGTGGTTCAAAGCCAGCCCAGGAAGGAAAGTACATGAGACCCCAATTAACCACTAGAAAACCGGAAGTGGCATTGTGGCTCAAGTAAGTGGTAGAGTGCTCATTTTGGGCTGAAGAGCTTAAGGACAGCAGCACCCAAGCCTAGAGTTCAGACCTCACAAGGGAAAAAAAAAATCTGAACTTCCAAGTAATCAGGAGAGAGAAAATAGTCAAATCTAGGACTGGGAATGTGGCTCAGTAGTAGAGAGCTTGCCTAGCATGCCTGAAGCTCTAGGTTCAATTCTTCCATACCACAACACACTGGAAAAGATGGAAGTAGCACTGTGGTTCAAGTGATAAAGTGCTAGCCTTAAGCAAAAGAAGCTCAGGGACAGTGCCCAGGGCCTGAGTACAAACCCCAGCCCCAGGACTGGCAAAAAAAAAAAAAAAAAGTCAAATCCCACTAAGACAACAGGATCTATATCATATCCTTAAAAGAAACTAGGAAATTAACCTTGAAATGATCAGTTTAGCCAATGGTGAACTGACATCTGTCATCCCAGCATTTGGGAGGCTGTGACAGGAGAATTTTGAGTGTGAGGCCAGCCTGGACTACATCACAAAAACCTGCCTCCAAATTGGCAGCTTCTCTTTTTGGTCCAATTCCTGAACCATCAATTAAGAAGTCCACTTCTCTCAGCTCATACTCAGGCTGAAGTCACATGTACCGCTCTGATTAGTCTCTGTGGAGCCCAGCCTTTCAGCCCTCCAGGCAATGTGAAACACAAGTGAACTGACTTTCAAGCCACATACTTGCTAAATACCAAAAAGAACCTCAGTCAGCACCACGTGGAAATGCATCATGCAGCTGAGCTCTGCCCCAAATCCTAACACAGGAAATCTTCAGGTACAATGAAAATATTCTTTTTTTTTTCTTTTGCCTGTCCTGGGGCTTGAACTCAGGGCCTGGGCAATGTTTTGAGCTTCCTTGGCTCAAGGCTAGCACTCTACCACTTGAGCCACAGTGCCACTTCCGGCATTTTCTGTGCTACTGAGGAATTGAACCCAGGGCTTCATGCATGCTAGGCAAGTACTCTACCACTAAGCCACATTCCGAGCCATGAAAATATTCTTTTAAGGGGCTGTTTACATGGGGGACCAGGTAAACAGGTGCATATCGTTTCTCTCTTGAATCTCAATTTTTTCATCTGTATAGATCAAGGGAACTTGACTAGATGATCTCTAAACTTCCTCTTGTTCTAAACTACTCTAACTCTATCCCTTATTTGGTGATCCATCTGAAATGAAAACACTTTTTATCTGATAAAGGAAAAATCATTTTTGTAAATATTGTTATTATAAAGGTGGTATAACAGAGGAGTTGTAGTCTCATAAGTCAGATAAAGAGTCTTTCTTTTTGGACAATGTCTCCCCTTCCCTTGCCCTCTCCCAGGAGGAGAAAATTTTTAATTCATTTATAGAACTGTGAGAGCACAAGGAAAGGGGTCACATTCTCCAAAGAGAAATGTACTCTTTATCTGACTTATGTAACTGTAACCCTTCTGAACATCACTTTTTTTTGGGGGGGGGTCTGGTCATGGGGCCTGAACTCTGGGCCTGGCACTGTCCCTCAGCTCTTCAGCTCAAGGCTAGCGCTCTACCACTTGAGCCACAGCGCCACTGCTGTCTTTTATTTTTCTCTGCTTATGTGGTGCTGAGGAATCGAACCCAGGGCCTCATGCATGCAAGGCAAAGGCTCTACCACTGAGCCACCTTCCCAGCCCTGAACATCACAATTATAATAACAACTTAAAAATGTTAAATAAAGTAAAATGAACTCCTGTACAGATCAGGGCTCCTGAGCCTGGCCAAGGTTTTGAGACTTGGGTAAGAAGAGAAAGTAGGGGGGAGGGGGAAGATGGGAAGGGGAAACAAAGGAGGAGGCAACAATGCTTAATAAGAAATGTACTCATTACCTTGCTCATGTAATTGTAACCCTTCTGTATGGTATTTTCACAATTTAAAAAGAAGAGAGAGAGTGAGAAAGCAACAGCTCTTTCCATGCCAGAGTAAATAGAAGATGGGGTCAGAGCTGCACAGAAAGAGAAGAAAGCTGAGGTTTTAGGAGCTGAATAGCACACTGGAGCATGACTCAAGCAGTAGAGGGCCTGCCT